GGGGCGGGGACCAAGGAGGCAGCCAGCGGGGTGTCCGGTCGCAACGCGCCGAGCAGCCCCGGCACCACCGCGATGGGTAGGGTCCGTCCCATGGGGCACCCCAGGCAGCACCCCACAGCGGGGAAGGGGGACACACACACACAACCACATCCCACCTCCGGTGTCCCCAGTGCAGGGAGCCCACCTCCCCAGGACCCTGCATCCCTGAGTTCTCCCACACCCCAGATCCTACATGCCCGGGGTCCCCCATCCCTGTGACCCTGCCTCCCCAAGACCCTCCATCCCTACAGCCCCAAATTCCAGAGGCCTCATGTCCCTGTGAGCCCACCTCCCCAGCACCCTGCATCCATGGGGTCCCTCCTCCCCCCCCCCAATCCCAAATTCCTGGGGGGCCCACCACCCTGTGATCCCAATTCCCTGAGCTCCCACCCCACATCCAGTGTCTCACACCTCGGGGGTCCCACATTTCTGTCATCCCACTGCCCCGAGATCCCCCAGTCCCCGGGACCACTAGGCCCCAGGGACCCACCACCCCACAGGGGGTCCTGGGGCCCTGCCAGGCTGCATCCCCTGCACAGCCCCAGGGGACTCCAGCCACACCTCAACCCCCCTCCTTGCTGCCCATTAGGGCAGCTGCTGCCCCAGGCCTGGAAGCTCATTCCAGTGCAGGGGGGAGGGGGAAAAACCACCCCCCCCAGTCCCAGGGAGGGCTTTGTGTCACCAGATAAACACAACTGATAGCACCAGCCAGCCCCACCGTGGCACTTTTCCACTTCAAAGCCCTGTGCAAACACCAGCCAATTAATTAATTAACCAGCACAAATGCCCCACATGGGCCATTCCTCCTTCCAAGGCCAGACATGGCCAGGAGGACAGCCCAGCCCTGTGGTGGGGGGGCAGGCCCCTTACACCCCCCCCAGCCCAGGTGCTCAGCATGCTCTTGGTTATTTATTCAAGACAATCATACAAAAACTCCTGTGTTAGAAAGCTGTACAAATCAGGGTGGGCAAAGCGCCCCGCGCAGGGTGCTGCTGGGGAGGGGTGGGGTGGGGGGGTGGGGGCCCCCTCTGGCACCCAGCAGAGGGGAGGGGGGAGATCCAGGGTGGGGACAGCTCTCACTGCCCCCCACCGCCATGTGCAGTGGGATGAAGAATGGGGAAGGGGCACAGCACAGTGGGGAGGGGGATGTTTCCTACAGTCCCGCTCTGCTGGCTGCCAGGCATCTTCTCAAGCACATCCAGGCTTCCAGAGCCGGTGATGCCAAGGGGCCGCAGCCAGCACTGGGGCACCCGGCTGGCCACAGGGCCAGCACCACGTCCCCGCCTGCGGGACACACAGTCTGAGCCCACAGCAGAGAGATCCGAGGGCCATCCGTGGGCAAGCTCAGCTCCTGGGGCAGGGGTGCCAGCCTCCTGCTCCTCTCCAGTCTGGGGCACATGCGGCTCCTCCACCCTCGGGCTCACACTCAGCCTCCGGCTGCTGAGACCATCCTGCCTGCGAGGGCCGGGGGAGCTGGGGCAGCCCGAGGGCTTTGGCTGCTCAGCTTGGCTTGGGGCCCTCTGGCCCTGTAATACTGACAAATCCTTTCCTTGCCCAGATGTGCACAGGGTAGGCCGCCCCGGGGCGCATGTGAGGACCACAGGGGTCCTGAGCATCCCGGCTCTGTCAGCAGCGGCCACAGCCTTGGTCTATCCGGGCACAGCGGGGTGGCTCACAGCCCCTGCGGCACCAGGAGGGGCAGGAGGAGGCTGATGAAGGTGAAGGGGCTGCTGCCCCGCATCCCCGAGTTCTGCCCCACGCTCCTCAGCACATGTGCGGCTGCATCATCTGTGGGGAGAGAAGAGCTGTGAGCATCCCTGGGGGAGGTGCCATGCCCCAAGCCAGCAGCACATCACCCAGCGCGGGGGCTGCTGCTAGCCCTGCTCCCCAGTCCCCCCACCCCAGGAGAGCAGCTGGGCTCAGCCTGGCTCCCCTGCCACCCCCACGGCTGCCTGGACCCATCTGCCTGCCTGCAGCCACCAACCTACCTGCCTGGATCCTCCCCTTCTGGGTAGAGGCAGGGACAGGCGGTGCCTGAGCTGCAAAGCAAACACGGGGTCAGGCGGGTGAAGGGCAGCTCCCTGACCCCCCCTCAGCCAGGTTTCACCAGGGGCCATCCACCACGCCAGCCACCAGCACTTTCCCAGCCAAGCCACATGTGCCCACACCCTGGGGCTGGCAGGGGGCCATGGCCTGGCCATGACACAGCTCAGGAAAGGCCGAGCTGGGCACCGACACTGTGAGCGGAAAGGGGGGGCACGGGCAGGACCCAAGGGGTCTGGGCGATACTCACTGCCTTTGCCAGTGACCGTCACCTTCAGCTTCAGGCATGCTTCCCCGTGCTGGTGAATGGGCTTGGCTGCAAGGGAGGATGGGGGTTAACTGGGGTGGGGGGAAGCCCAGTAGGGACCCCAGCCCCCTGGCAGACCCCCAGGCACTCACAGATGTAGTAGTAGCTGTGCCCCTCCTTGAACTCCTTGCCCAGTGTGAAGGGGGTGAAGCGCTGGAACTTCTCAGAGAACTTCTCGGGGCCATGAAGGGCGCTGGGCTTGTTGCACTCCCAGCGGATCTGCTCCTTGGAGCGGGGCTTGCAGGCCCGGTATTCCTCCGGCTCCACCAGATAGAGAGTGTAACGCTCCATGGCATGGGGGTCGACAGTCCCCTCCTCATAGTGTGGGCAGATGATGTCCAGGTAGTCATTGAGGCGCACCTCTACTGTGTAGTCGTTCCACAGGAACCTGAGGCAGGAGGGAGGCTGGGGGTCAGCTCCAGCAGGGAGAGGCATTGGGGGGGACCCCCCTTCCCCTGCACCCCCAAATTGCTCACACCAATTAACAAGGCCAAGAAAGGAGCTGCTGTGGGCAGGAGACTGCTCTCAGAGCCCAGGACAGGTCAACCTTTGGTTCACCCTTCCCTGTGCAGAGTCCCACAGTGTCCAGGCTGGTTTTGGGAGGAAAAGCCCCCACTGGACCAGCCCCCCTGCACCCAGCTGGTGAGCGCACCCCCCTTCCCAGAGCTCCCCAGTGGCCCCAGCAGGCGGGGAGCTGGAAGGGGACCCGCCAGAATGTGTACCCTGCCCATCGCAACACTCCCAGAGCCAGGAGGCATCGGCAGCTCTCGCCCATGGGGCAGCCAGCCTGGCTCCAGCGCCTGCTGCTCCCCACAACTCACCCCGGGGGGTGGGGAGGGACGACACACGGGACGGACGACATGGACAAACTGGCAGCTGATCAGGGCCTCTGTGGGGTCCCCTCACCTTGCTGGCTGCGGTGGCCTCGGGGCCAGCCCCTGCTCCCCAAACCCTGTGGACCCTGGTCACCCTTTTGGGGGGGGAGGCAGGGAGACAACACACAGCTCTATAACGTGGGGGGTGGTGCCTGGGGGGTGACCTACAGCTGGGGGCACACGGCCCAGGCAGGGGGCACCCCTATAGCCTAGAGGGGTCTGGTGCGTAGTGGGGGGGCACCCCTAAAGCCAAACAGGGCACTCCTGCAGTCTGGTGGGCTGGTACCTTGGGGGGGCACCCCTACAATTAGCGGGTCATGGCCCAGGAGGTGACCCCTACAGCCTGGGGGTCTGATGCCTGGGATGGGGTCACCCCCACAGCCACAGCCCGTCCCGGGGGCCGGTTCCTGGGCGCAGCTGGGGTGTTGGGGGCCCGGTCAGGCCCCCCCCCCCGCACATCCTGCCCAGGCGGCAGGAGCCAGGGCCGTGTTTGTCAACACGCTTCCCTGTGCCCCGGCGTCGGGGCTGGCGCCGCGCCACCCCCGCGGGGAAGGAAGAGGCCCCGCTCCCGCTCGGCCCTGGGAACGGAAAGGCCCCCCTGGCGTCCCCCCCCCCCTCCCCGGTCCGCCCCTGGACCGGCCGCGCCGCTCCCCGGCTGCGCAGCGGGACCGCCCCGCCGGCCTCAGA